GGATACGTCTCTTCCCTCTAGTCGCCTCATCTCACTCGACCAAGAGTTAACAATCGATTAGTTGAAATTAAACAAGCTCCCAAAAAAAAAAGATTATTAAATGAAGTAAATATCAGTAGACTTTCTCGAATTAATGAAAATTTCCAGTATTTTTGCATTTTATCGTGATGGTGAGAGATCGATCCGAGTTAAGAACAAAGAGGAGGTTGAGCCAGTTGCATCATCGATCTTGCTCGTAGGTACATCCAACCAACCCCTCAAATCCTCCTTCAACTCACGTCTATGTATTTCATATCGAGATTCAAGGACACTCATCACATTTTACACACACGTAAATGCACCACCCCAAGATCGTGCTAAAGTGCGACACGAGAATTATTGCACGTTTATGCATATCTCAACAATCCTCCATGCGTCATAGACCGTAGAGAGCTACCCTCCCCTCTATTTGCGGGCTATATTCCATCACCTAGAGTAACACGAAATTCCACCAGCCACCGACGGCTAGACGCAACCCAAGTCTCTGACGAAGGGTTTCCAAGCCCTTCCACCCCTCTATTTTCAACTACCAATGTTGAAGGCAAGAGCTTCCACGTCAAATCTCATTACACCCTGGTTTTTTCGCCCCGACAACCACGACGAGAGAGTCACCATGGCTTCTCTTCGGTTCTTCTTCTTCCTTGTTTTTTTGTTTTTTTTTGTTTTTTTGTTTTTTTGTTTTTTTCAAACCTTTTTTCATCAACCATCAGCTTCTCTTTTTTTCTATCATATTCTCCGTATTTCCGTTGAGCTGCTGCACTCAAGCATTATGACGGTTTTTCCACACTTGCGTGTCACTGGGGTTACGTAATTATCACAGTGAAAGACGAAGCGTTGGTTAATGCCGGTTTTTTTTTGCCTGCCTTCGTGACAGAAGTCACAGCTATTAAAATTTTTGTTAACGTGAGGGCTGACTTGCGGGGTAATTGTTGGAATTAGTATAGGGTCTTGGAGTGATTAATGATTGAATTCCTCCTGAGTGACTTGAACACTTTATAACGAGCGGTCAATTTTTTTCAACATGATCATCACCTTGAGTGTCTACATGGTATTGTCACATAAAAATCAAGCCTCTGTCCTATCAATCGATACCTTCTTTTGTATCATCATGACCCAGTTGTCACTGGAGATACCGAAGAACAACAAACGAGGATAGAAAAAATGTATCGATGCACAAATAAACTTGGCACTACGGCGGCCACATTTTCAACACTCCACGTGATACATATTTTTCAGTTTTTTTTATCGTGGAGTAATCGATGGCCCGATTAATTGAGGGCTGCTGCTGTGGCAGGCCATTTTTCTCCGGTTGATGCACGAGTCTATGCTTCTTCTTTTTTTTTTGGCTGAAATACTCTGAACTAGTAGGCTGGAGCAACGCCAAGACTCTTGGTTGGAGGATCTTCTAGTCTGGCTTTTCACAATCTCTCGATTCCATTGTGTCGTTTCAATATTCAACTGCTACATGGTAATGTGCAAGCCAACTTAATTGTTTCTATTGGAAGGAGAAAATGAAACGAGAAATCCATGAATTTACAAAATTTTTTCTTCAACTAATAATTACAACTTTTCGTCCTTGACGGGGCAGGAAAATTTTCATTCCAAACACTCAATGTGAATGTATCAATCCCCTCTAATTACAGACATTGATATTTCATTGAAAAGTTTTCCTTGTTGATAAATTGATGCTGAACAATGAGAATAGCCTTCTCGGCTTCTAAAATAGAGAATTCACTCGGAAAGACTGAGGATAAAAAAGTAGCCGTTTGGCAACTCCTCGTATCCTCAAGTCTCGAGGCAAACAACAGAGATATCGACCTGTTCTCCAATATACCGTAGACGACCTGTGTATGACCTAGCTGCTACAATGTTACAATGTACTGCCAACTGGCAGACGATTTTATCGTCGCATAAAGTACATCAATTACTTCACACCTCGGAGGCAGAACGCCTTGTGTGTCTGAGCTATAACAGTGAATCTCGTGTCCAGCCGAACTCGTATGCCAATTTCCCCCTTATTTCCGACACATTCACATAGAGTGGATCGTTGCATCTTAAACCTCCCGATCGAGATGGAGACCGATCACAATCACCAAGAGTAGTCGGACAAATTCTCCTCAATTTCCGGAGTATCGAGTTCAGATTACCCGAGTACATTCGTATTCAAGCTGGCGTGTGCACTGTGCATTTGTATAAATCCCATCGAATCTCCAGTATTGCCATCATTCTCGTTATTCTCCTGCTGTAGGTTGCCTCTAGGTCCCCCTATCTCGGCCAGAATCAAGGAGGAAGCATCGTCTAGTAAAGAGTCTGGTGGATTCCAGTTGGCTGGACTGTAGCCAGGGCCTCTGGCCAACAAGACTCTTCCCTTACGACAGATCCGTTAATAACGGACGTCATAGTTTCACCAAAAATGGACAATCGTAGCAAAAACCATTAGTCTGTCAATCCCACCAGGGCAAAAGCTCCTGAAATCCTTTCTGCTCCAAGCAATCTCATTATCAATCCAATAAATTGGATTTTGTAAACACAGCAATGTTATGAATTTCTCAAAGCAAGTCGCCGATAAATTGGCATACATCCAGCTAGTCTCCCTGCCTCTCCCCCCATCATTTCCTTCTTGTTTCCAGTTATATTCGTTAGCCGAATCACCAGCGTATTTCCTCGTTGACGATCCTGGGAATAGGATAAAAGTGACATCGTTACCCGTAGAAACTAGAAATAGATGTGTACCTGGAAAATTCAATTGCAACGAGCAACCGAGTATTTTATCTGCTCTATTTGCATTACCAGTTGTGAAAAATCAGCTTGGTTCGGTGGTAAAGACTTGTTTTAGTGTTAATGACCGGAACCAGTTACCATTCTCGTTAATCTCGTTGGTTCTCATTTACTCTGAAAGGCTTTTGTCACTCTTTGTTCTACATCTTGGAGAGATCCCTGTCACGAGTTTGGAAGCCGTTCCGGATTTGGTTTACATCGTAAAGCCAATTTTAGGACACTTGGCGGTATTATAATTTTGTTAGCGGACGTGACACGTGGAGAATTCAATGCATGAAATCTATAGAGGTAGAGTTCAACTAATGTCCACTGTGATTTATGGATAGATCTTGGGGTTGAATTGTCGGTAAATATAATGGTTAGATGGATTCAGTCAATAAAATTACACCGCTGTAAATTCCTTGTCGTGAAAATGATCGAGTTGCTTGAATAACCGGCAGTTATATTACCGGTAATTAGTCTGTTTCCCAATGATGTAGAGGAGTTAATTAACGTTTCGAGGTGCTCTAACATTTGTATAAGCTGTAGCATCATGATGAGGATTAAACGGCTGTTTGCCCTGGAAGCACTCGATATTTTCATGGTTCAACATCGTTGAGCTATCAAGCCTCCTACTTTGTTGGTTGTAAAAACAAGTACTTCCATCCGCACTATCTGCTCTCCTTGCGTACATGTTATAAACCTAAGTGACGTACTTCTGTACCAAGCGTTCACGTGGTGTGGCACATTAATTGGGGATTCAAACTGGTGCGTTTACAGTGGCATGCGCTTCGGAGATTGAACGGCCAATTTACATGATATACCACTCCATCCTCATCTTCTCCATTCCATGATTCTGGGGGCTCACTCCCTCCTTGCACCCAATTTATCCAGCCAATCGGTGAATTTCCATCGAGATACGTTAATCCGTCAGCAGTTTGAAAAATCAAGCTCCTCGTTATTTTCTAATGATTTGACTTTCGTCGAGACCTTGATCTGAATTTCTCACTACCGAGTCCAAGTGAACGTTCACTCTGGACACGAGAATATGTTGGCATTTGAGCAACTTGCACAACCACGTGTCCACTTTGTCCTAACTTTAGAGATGCATACCTAGCAATTTTTTTCGAGGAACAAATTATTTTCATTAGTCTCAAGTACTTCTTGTTGGACATTATCGCTTGATGAGATCACCCGAAAAACTCCTCGACTAATTATAGAATTTGACCAATTTATTTTTAAGGTGTATCAAGAATTTATGGGGATCAGTTGCAGGCACTTAGGGGGATGCAATGTACCGTTTATCTTATTTTTAGGATATTTAGGTGAATTTGGCTGGTAATTGGTGCTAATGAGGCTCGTGGCTTATTTTTCAGGAAGTCGGAAGTATTATTGGCAAGAAGGGTGAAATTGTCACGAGGTTCCGCGAGGAAGTAAGTACCGAATTGCCCTAACTAATGATTTATTTATACAAATTAAATTTCCATCTAACTGGCATGAATTATTGATAATCAACAGTCAGGGGCCAAGATAAACATATCTGACGGCTCGTGTCCAGAGCGAATTGTCACTGTTACTGGGCCAACCAACTCAATCTTCAAGGCATTTACCCTTATCTGCAAGAAATTCGAAGAGTGGTGCTCGCAGTTTCACGATGTACAGGGGGGTGGTGGTGGTGGTACCACACGAACACCAATCACCCTAAGGCTTATTGTACCAGCATCTCAGTGTGGATCACTCATTGGAAAGGGTGGCTCTAAGATTAAGGAGATAAGGGAAGTCACTGGCGCACTCATTCAGGTTGCCTCGGAGATGCTGCCGAGCTCCACCGAGCGCACTGTCACCATTTCAGGTACCAGCGAAGCCATCACCCAGTGCATATACCACATTTGCTGTGTCATGCTAGAGGTATGAATTCTCTAATCTCTCCAGTCATTTCCAATCAATCATTTCATTACAAATTATATCACATTGACAATGAAAAAAAAATATTAAACTCCATTTATCTCACTTTTATACTTTAAAAAATGGATTGCACTGATAGGAAAATTGTTAATCCTGACGAATTGGAATACATAAAAATACCATATGCTTCTGCCAATTCGTTATTTTCCTCCCGTCTTGCATTCTAAAAAATATTAACCTTTCGTCACAAGCAATGCAGTAGCGATGATAAAAAAATGAAAAAATATATCTCTGAATCCCAGAGAGCTATCAACATTTTCATAGATACTTTCACAAAAATGACGCTATTAAAGTCTCTGAGTTTCCAAGATATTCCAAAAAGAAAGTTCGACCTCTTTTATTCAGTCAGAGCACTGCGATTGTTTCTTGTGTCGAAGGATTGGTGAAAAAGAAAAAAAGAAAAAAAGAAAAAAAGAAAAAATTCATCCCCCTAATAACGCGCACAATCAATGCGCAACATTTGTTTTGTTTTCTATCTGTTTCAGTCCCCTCCCAAAGGTGCCACGATCCCTTATCGCCCTAAACCCCAAGTTGGTGGGCCAGTGATCCTGGCTGGTGGGCAAGCATACACCATCCAGGGTAATTACGCGGTGCCCGCCCACTCGGACGTAAGTACAGTATTGTCAATGCCGGTATCCGCTGCCGGGCCTGTCCCACCCTCGCTGAACGCCCAAACTCTTACTGCCTCGCCTTTCGCCGCCGCCCACCCTTCCTCGCCCTTCGCTTCACACGGCCATCCGCTGATCCCGGCCCATTTCACTGGACCCCATCATCCGCTACACCCGAGCCCCTTACACGCAAGCGTGGCAGGCCTCGCCGACCCCCTGCTGAAGAGTGGACACTTGCAGGCAGCCCTCCCGCCCGCACTCGTGGCAGACGCCGTAAGTCTTTTCTTTTTCGTGATCCACAACATCCATTACCACTCTGCCACCCCACCACACCATCACCCCACCACCCCACCACCCCATCTTCTCCACCCAACCCCCAACCCCCCCAACACCCCTGCTCAACAAACTCCAATTGATTACACGTCAGAGACAATACCATTACATTATCCACAATCATGACTAGAGTTTAGTCACATCTGTATCCTCATTGGTAAGCTATCCCTCACCAGTACAGGGTACACTTGAATCCTCAGCCACTTGCTCTGATTACCCGAGGCACGGTGGAGGAATACCACAATTACTCTTCATGCACTGTTGGAAATCATTTTTATTTTCGGCAACACTTGGTGGGGCAGGAATTTTTTTTCGAGAAAAAAGCCACAAGACAAAAATTTGTTTGTTCGTTCCAATACTTGGGCTACATGTAAATGTTCGCTACAGAATAACACTGAAATCCCCTGGCTTTTGTCAATTTTTATGTTTAAAAGAAATTCAATAGAAATTCACGTATACAAAGTCCTCGAAATTCAATATATTCCAGATATGTCATTTATAAATTCAAGTCTGCTACACTGTCAAATCACTGCAGTGTTTGAAAAACCAAAATAAAAAGCAATAAAATCCCCAAAAAAAAAACATCGAAAAAATTGAATGAATATTTCAACTAATCAGCAACAACAATCAGACCACCCAATCATAACCAGAGTGATGGCCAATGTTCTTAACATCAAAAGCCAACTCCACCAAGACTTTGCGTGCATATCAGCAATGATACAGCTGAATAACAGATTGTCACGAGGCGGGTTAAAGTGATTGTTCAATGTCGAAACCCCGACACCGTGTCCACAAGTAGCCTCTCCCAGTAAGCCCCCCCCCCCCCCTCATTTTGTTCTGAAGAACTTGCAATTCACGATGATTTTTCCAATGAGCCTCAGAACCCCAAAACAGTGAAGAAAAGGACTGCCGAAATGCTGATAAAACCCCGCTTGTCTCCCTGCTATGCCCTGAGCTCTCCCTCTGGAGTCATCAAGCTCAATTTATTACTTCAACTCCACCATAATCTTTCATTCATTAATCTCCAGATGGAAAACTCACTGGGCTATAACGCTGTTCTGCATCATATCCAACATTCACGTGACCCCAAACAGAATTGATTGCATATGACACTACTCAAGAGTCACGTAACTGTTGGATAAATTGTTTCTCGTTTTTCTTTTATTCTCCTCCATTATTATTTCCCAACGCACGTTAACCATGATTGTGTACGACTGTTATTACGGCTCTTCTTTTTATTTCAGTATTTGTAAACGCTTTGCACTGCATGCGCTCGTATTCTTCCTCATTAAAATGCAATTTTTATCACGTCGGTACCGGGCTTCACTCCCATTTTATTTTCTTTATAGCTGCTCCTGTCGTAATTTTTAATTGAATTCATTCTGAAGGGAGCACCACTATAGCAGCATTGATATAACGAATTGAATAGTTATAGCCTAATTAGCGAGAGCTTTTTTCGAGGAGACGCTGACGCAAACATTGAGTCGAGCTTTATCGACCCTTTGAATTCAATTCCGTGTACTATTGAACAGTGTTTTGCCATTTTTATTTATTTTTTTTTCACTTTAGTAGCACTTTTATCCCTGGATCTATCTGAAAATGCACATTTAACGTTCACATTTGATTGAAAATGGAAACATGGAATTGAGCAACTGATCCAGCAGAAAGTAGAATGAAAACATTACTGGAAAACAGAAGTATTTCTTTATTCGGCATATTTTCATGGTATTGAGTTTCTTTGTTATTTTACGGAGAGTTGATTCAACTATTTTGCTTGGAAATAGCAAGGAACGATAGATATTCAATGGCAAGTGAAATGCATGTGAAAATAGGAATGAAAAGTGTAAAAGAAAAAAAATAAGAGACTACTAGAGTCCCAATACTCCCTAGTACGATGTGAATTCTATTGGCGACAACGTGTAGCGGATAAAGATGATGTGTTTTTGTGGGATTACCGATGAAATCTTGTCGAATACTGCATGGGAATGAAGATTAGGATAACCATTGGCTTATTGTCACGTTTATTTCTTCATTCGTGTCATCAAACAATTTTTATTTAACCTATCTATCACCTGGGTGTCTCATTTGAAATTCATGCTCAACACCTCTATTATCTTCTTTTTTCATTCACTTTAACAATTTCAAACGCGTTGGGTAATTTTTCCGTTGAAAAAAAAAATGTCACAAGGGGGATGAACTTCAGTAATTTAATTTCTCGAATTTAAAGTACTTCTTCAGCGTTATGAATTCATTATCTTCTGGGATGAAAAACTTTTCCTACACTAACATCAACGCCTTGCCAGTCATATTTTTTTCTCTCATGCTCTTTATTTATCGTTCTCAAACATCCCAAGGCATTTTAGATTTTACGACAACTCTTTAGCGGCTCTGTTAGATCAGCATGGCTTATTCGAAACACAACTGCTGAATGAGAAATTCGTTTCGAAGAAAATTTGGCAATCAATAGAGATGAAAGAGTTTGCGCGAGGGTGGGCTGCCCTTAAGATGTTCATGTTGATTTTTTTAAGGAGTTATAAGAGGATTAATAATGTACAAAATTTGTTACAGCGAGAGTTTACACGTTTAGAAAGTCTGTTATTTGTAGGTCATTTTGATTAGATTAGAGTTGAAGCACATCGATGAGTTCAGGATGACATATCGCTCGGTTCATTAATTATCATGATACATATTTTTATTTTCCATCATCTTCATTTAAATTTCACCTGGGGTTCGGAACTAGTGCAAAGAGATCAGTAATTCAAAGACAAATACTGGGGGACAAGCGAAAATTATACAATGAGCTTGCTACTTTATAAATCGACTCCAGTTTCCAGAAGGAACTTGAGCATTTTAACATTTTTTCACATTTTCAAATATTTGTCGTATGATGCAGTAAAGTCATACTCCCCTGGGGATAAGAAAAATCCATGCAGCAGTGATTCGCTATCCCGCTACCTCTGGTATTTTCATTTTTCTTTTATACTTTTCAAAAACTCGTGATGTGCAATGAAACCGAGTGAAGAATATATTTGTTTTTTTTTTATGGAGTCGATTCAAGGAGAATTATGAGGCAAGAATTGTGTTTTATTATTTCTATCGCATAGGTGTTTTATTGCCAGTTGTTCTCCTGTTCTGATCCCTTGCAATTGGTGAATAATTGATAATTGGGGATATTTGTGGGGTTTATGAACCATGCGGATGTTGATGGTTGTTACAGATGGGTAAACTTGGAAGCAATCCATTGGCAGGACTGGCTGCATTGGGTCTTGGGGGGTTAGCTACGCCTGCAAACACAGGAGGTCTGAACCCAGCTGGTAAAATTTCTTAATTATAAGTTCGAAAGCTTTGTCTCTTTTGTTCACTTGATATTTTGCTCTATTTATTCGAGATTTCATTCAGCAGAGAAGAGCCAAAGACTAGCAAATCGTTCTCTTTCTCAGTTGACTCTTCGAGGGATAATCTTGATCTAAGGGGGATTTATCAGATGTAAAGCTATCCCTCGAAAAATTAGCCATAGACTAAATGGGTTTGTTAGCACCATTCGCCTCCTCGCTGCTGATTTTGTTGAGGTGTTTTAAACGGTTCGAGTCGATTCAGATTTTGAAAAGGTCGAGGAGTTGAAAAAAAAAGTGAAAATAGTGAAACATTTGGGAATCCACAAGGCAATCAACTTGAACTGTTTAACCTTAACACTAAAAATTTAAATTTCATAAATTGCCTCTTCGGACTTGACTACTGCGTTAAAGACCCCCCAAGTAATAGGGAAAAAAAATGTGTGAATAGCTCTGGCAGCTCTGGCCGGAAGTCAATTGCGCACGAATCATACCAACAGACAGCAGCCGGCAGCTAACAATCAGACGCACGAGATGACAGTGCCGAATGAGCTGATTGGCTGTATAATCGGCAAGGGTGGCACCAAAATCGCCGAGATTCGTCAGATATCAGGTGCCATGATAAGGATCAGCAACTGTGATGAGAGAGAGGGCGGTGCCTCAGATCGAACAATCACAATAACTGGTAATCCAGATGCAGTGGCGCTGGCACAGTACCTCATCAACATGAGGTAAGTCTCACTAAATCACAATTTACCTTAAAATATTTATTTACCTTCCTACTTTGGGTTCTTCCCAGACTCACCAACAGTTAGTGCACAATATTCCGAAATATTGTTTCAACTCTTTCCTCTTATCGTTTCTCATTCTCCAATTTTCAACTCGATACGAGAGGCCAAAGTGTGTCTCAAAGTGGCGCCTGCCAAATGAGAATAAGCGCGCGAGTGATGTGAAATCTGAATCTTTGTTTCTATCGAATACCCCACGGGTTCAAATGTCAAACAATTTTTTTTAAATATATACACGGACTGCCCTCAAACGTGCAGAAGCCCCAAACCTCTGAGCGTCTTGACGAATTTAATCGAGATGAATCTTAAATATAAATCAGTTGTCCTCTCTTTGGAAATTTTTTCACATTAAAAAATTGGATCTCCCCCAATAAAATTGAATTTGTCATCCCTCTCAAATGAATCGATCACTTTGCAAAGTACTATTTCAAATTGGTTACGTAACACCCTTCGGATTATTGTGGATCCGACGAAAATCCCGAGTGCCACAAGACCCAGTACCAAGGATTCTGGAACATCTAATATCCACTCGAGGTAGGGAGGAGAGGGATCTTGGAATCGTGTTTCTGGGTTACTCTGTGATCCCCCCAACTCCTTCGCCTCCTCTCGGTCTGCTATATGCCCACTTCAACACGCTCAAGTGTCTCCAGAGTTGTGGAGAAAAGCGACGAGGCCGAAGGGGCGACGAGGGAGTAGGGGGTGTTGGCAGTGAGGAAAATACCGAGGACAAAGTGTGAGAGGGAACCGACAGAAAGTCCAATCGTCAGGTATTTTCCATTGAATTGAAAAGACTTGAAAATTCATGTTGACTTCGTCACGACGTTCATTGTTGTGTCACAAGGGGTGGGTTGGGTGTCTCTGGCTGGAATGGATAGAGGCAGTTGAGGATATCCCCGAGACTGTTTCGTTATTGTCATAGGTGGCATTCAGTTATAATACAAGAATTGTACAGGTGAGAGAGAAGTAGCATTAAGAAAAAATTAGAATAACTCGAGTGATGATAACCAAAAAAACACACACACAAATTGTCTCTTCTGTCTGGTGATTGTGATAAGATGTCCAATTGTTCAACGATGAATGAAGAATACGGAAATCATCGCCGATGGGGTGAGCCGAGATGAAGAGGAGCACGAGGCAAAAAAACAAAAGAACCAAATGTTCATAATCCTTTATTTCCAGGTATCCTGTCACTGGTTCCACCTTGAGAATATCCTGCAGATAACTCCGTTTTTCTTTCAACATATGTTCCTACCACGCTGGCTGTCCTATTTATGTTTATTCGACATTTTACTTTATCATAAAATCATATAAATCATGAGAAAAAGAACATAAAGAGAGAATTTGTTTGATGAGGATCGGATGACGGCTCTGGTAATCCAGAAAAGTTACTACATTAATAATCCTGGTTTTTCCTATCCTCTCGCAGTGTTCACACTTTTTTTTTTTGTTTTTTGTTTTTTTTTCTTCACTCAGAAAACTCCTTTATCCTCGGACAAGGTGTTTGTGAGGCTTGTGATATGCTACTCTCCATAGAAACATCATTTTTTTTATCCAAGCATTTTCTTTATTTTTTTTAACGCTGTATACACTGTTTATAAACACCAACTGGATTAAAACGGATCATCCTTGCGATATATACTTTTTTTAATGCACACGTAGCATGAAAATTACCTCGTTTTTCATAAATACAACGTATCGTTGAGATTCAGCGCAATTTTTCATGAGTTTGAATGAAAAATATTTCCCAATCAAATTGACAATTAATCAACGCCCATACTCAATTAACAAGCATCCGTCTAGCTGTTGATTAACCGTCCGCCCGTTCCAACTCGCTGCCATTCGTGAAATAAATCGACAAAAAAAATACCCACGCCAAACTAATTTTCAGTATTTTTACTGAGTACTCTTTCATTCTATTCACCTCCGTCTCTCAGTACCTGTAATCCGTTGGGTATATTTTATTTCAGATTATCACTGCGATAATTTTCCTCGGTACACATCATCTCTATCCTCTCAATTCAACCATGCATTCATGCGCTCCCTGCAAAAAATTAAAAATCAAAATCAGAACGCCCAATGCCCTAATGTCCTATGTAGTCTGCTTCGCGCTCTTCATTTCTTGAAAAAAAAAATTCTGCATCAAATTAAGCAACACGACGTACACATTGATTGCTAATTTTTGACTTTAACAGAGTGCACATTATACCGGTAAATCACATCAATTTAGCTTCACGCGGGCTCGAGGATTTTCTACTCGACACACACGTATTTTTTTTTTTATTCTCCACATCACTAGCCCGCGAGCTAAATACATTACTTTTGAATCGACTCGAGTGAATCCCAGCCCTCGCAATCAATCGACAGCACATTCTCATCTTTTTTTATTCTACCTATCCTCTACATTTTTTTTTCTCGCCTCCATTGCGCACCGAGAGCTTGTAATTACCGCTATCTTCTCTCGTTGCACACTGGGTCACTCACTCACACGATTAATCATCCCCGAGGGTCACGGTAATTAAGTGGCCGATGTTATTGACGTTATTTCAATATCAACGAGCACCAGATTATCGTGACTATCGTCGATGCTCCTCATCCAAAAAAGAATTGAAAAAAAAAAAACAAAAAAAAAATCATATGAAGTTTATAATTTGAATGAAACATTTTCAAATCATGACATTCTCCAATCTCATTAAACATTTTCTCCTGGAAGAAAAAAAAAAGGGAAAAGAATTGAAATAGAAAAAATAAAAAGAAAGATGTATCCCACCCTCACCTTTTTTACATTTGTGTCTTTTCCCCAGTGTCGAACTGCAGAAAGCTAACCTAGAGGCCCAAAATACCCAAACCCCTGGCAGCGGCACCAATCCCGGGGCATCCGGGGCCAGTGCTTCCCCTTCTACCACTACTACCACTGCCTCTCCCTTGGCCAGCGCAATCCCCTTGGCTCAGCTGCTAAGCAAGCCAGGTGCCCTCAACGCCCTATCTAGCCTGACAGCTCTTGGTGGGCTTACGGAATTACTTGGCGGTGCCGGTGGTGCCGCCGCAACACAACTACCTGTCCAGACAACTGGTGTACATCGTTCACACAAGACATTCACACCACGTCTACGCAGTCCTGGTGCACCAGGGCCAACTGACAGCGGTAAATTCAAGTCTGAGAGGACCAAGTACAATCCGTACTGAATTTATTATTCAACGGGGGGAACGCTCTTGGCTTTTTTTTTATCTTCAACTTACTATAGAGGATTTGTCTCACTGTGTTAGAGGTTTTCCCATCCCTGGGGTTTATATTTTCTCTGTTTTCATAGCGAACGAGTTAAGCCTGATAAATCGAATTGTACTATTTGTTAAATAACAAGAATCACCAAGTCCATGGTGTTTATTTGTGACTTTTTTATGAAATTTAATCAGATACAAACAAGATAGCCATCAAAATTTTTGAAATTCCATTTATCTCGTTATAAGACTTGGTTACTGATTTGATTGATAATTATGGCAAATTGGAGTAGATTTGAGTAGTATAAGCTCAACGCACTCCGAGACAAAACTTTCTCCCAGACGAATGAGTTCGTGCCAATGCTTATGCTTCAACGAATTGGAATAAGAATCTTGTAAATGCGATAGGCAGACTCTGGGGGAAAAGTAAAAACCTCAGTATGATTTTTTGATCGAATACCTTTTGTTGCTGACTTTATTTTTTATATTTGATTTTTTTTCGTCACTGACGAAGGGATGATGTATCTCTTTCTGTTGATAAATTAATTTTCACGGAGAGCCTCGGAGTGCGGTTGGCGTGTGAGACATTTTTTTTTTTTTTACGTAATAATTATCATAACGGTGGATTATTCAAATAGTGTATCCAACCTAGGCGGGTGGATAAAACTCATAATTAAGAAACAATGTAATCATAATTGGTCGATTAGGACGATAAAGAGCGGATTTATTCTGTGGGAGAGTCAGAAGTCTTTACAGTTTAGAATTTAGTACGTGAGACATTGAAGTAATTTTGATTGACCTTTGTAACTCTTTTGTCGTCTGTAAGTATCTACTTCTGTAAGCTCAGATTTCTGCAGGGAAAAACGTGAGTCTCAACATGTGAGGATTATGATGAAACAGTGAGAATGTTTTTGGATCTTGTATTTTCAATGCGCCGGTGTAATATAAAAAATGGTAATTGGACATACCTGTAAAGTGGCGGATTATTTCTATGGATTAAGCATAATGAGATGATGAATCATGTGACTTGGGAAGTGAATAAATAAAATAATTGGATATTTGCGAAAGAATCCGCCACTAAATCTGCAAATTCAAGAGCTTAACTCATTATTGATGAAATAATAATCGACGATTAAATAGCGTCGTTGAGTGTTATACAAATAATCATTCGATACCTAAGTATACATAAACTATAAATATATAAATATGATATATGTAGTGTCGTATCATTAAACAATAGGTGAGTCTGAGTAAATGAGTACATTTGATTTATTAAAAACAAAAAAAAAACTATGGCAGAAGCTCGCTTTATTCCAGTTTCAATATTCGTCGTATTTTCAGTCATTCATGTCACAACAGTGACAGGCTATTCTCGTTGTCTCGACTATTTCAATATAGGAAATCGTTAACTCTGTTTCACGAGTTTCAAGTTACTCTTTCCACTCAATATGTCAAAAAAGAAGAAAAAAAAATCAATTGAAGAAGTATCTGGCCAATGATTGCATACGTGCTCAATTCTAGTTTGTAGTTTTTTAATCGTTAGGACAATGCAGGCAATCGAACCAGAGACTTCATATCCCTCCAATTACTCTCAAGACTGTGAACCTTTGGTTTATCAGTGAATGAGTTCATTGGAGATCGTGAGAGTGTGAAAATGGGGGTGATTAACGAAATGGAGATGTACGTGTCGTGTCATCCTACGTTTTTATTATTCGGTTGATTCATTTGTGTTAAGTCGATGACGCGATCTAACATCTTGATGGCTGAATATGCATTGTGTGGCTTAACACATTCAGCTAAATTGTATCACTGTTGAATTAAAACTAGGCGTATTTAATACGAGAAATAAAGGTGAACAATTACACTGAGACAATTGGTCTTGTCATTGAGACTTTATGGAACGATGATTTTTCATTTACTCATGAAAATACTCGGATTAGTTTCATTTTACAGATTTTAATTGGTTTATTTTTCGCCATCTTTTACTGCTTTTTTTTTTGTGAAGGGAGTCAGGGGGTGTGATTATTTATTGAGGTGTGTTTTAAGAGAACGAAAAGAGAAAGAGAATATTTGAATGAGAAAATTGTTGAGAAGACGATATCCATCCAACCAACTCTGACCCAGGCTCCTGCCCATCTTCGGTAAGCACCATCCAAATCCTCCGTAGTCCTCTTAATCTACTTGTCCCGTTTAACCGTTTTTTGTATCTTCGACCTTTGTATTATTTGCTTAAACATTCATTGCTTACTATTTGTTTATATTTGAGATATCACATTAATTTTACGAGTGACCAGCTCGACTCATCGACTCTTCGAGGTAACCTCTTGGTATTTTCATGAAAATTTTCCTATTTGTAATCCCTGTTTCATTAATGTTCACACAAGCCAGACTTTTGAACTCTCGGAGAGTCGGAGCTAATTCAAGAGACTGGTGAAATATCGTTGTGAATTTATTTCAGTGAGGGAGAAATTTTTTAAGTCGCAGACTATTATGGCAACATTTGAAGATCGTTATAAAAATTAACCATATAATCCTAAAAACAATCAGTTACTGCGAATTACATTATTTTTACTAAATTTCCTGTTGCTCGTTTATTTGGAAGAAAAAAATGTGTAGAATAACTTTATAATTAAACAGAAGTTGAATTATTCGATTTTAGACATATAATAATAATGCTCTGAAGCCTGATAAATTTGACCAATATCCTGCGACTTTTAAAATTCATAATACTTCCCTTCAACAAATAATTATCGAGACGAATTAAATTTTCAGCATGATATTTCAAGCCTCTACTCCCACTCAATTACTCAATATCACACAACGATTATTTCCATGATATTCAATGAACTGTACACGTGACAATGAATTCCTAGTTTACTCGGGTCTTGTAGAATTTTTTTGACTTCTGAGTGTGTTGATAATCCCCGGGGCAAAACTGATAGTAAAAATTTTGTTACAGGATATCAATGGAAACCGCTGGTATGGCAATGCCAGCATATCACTACATCGCACCGAATCACATCGTCAAGTCACCGATTCACTAAGAACAAGGATTAAACTATTAAAGCTTTCTGTTTCTGGGGCAAGAGGGGCTGATGACGAAGAAGTCGCGGAAGGTGGAGGGGTGAGAGGGGGGAGGGTG